TATGTATGTGGTGTTATCTGTGACAAAATGTCAAATATAATAATATTTATGTGTGTGCCTCTGTGAGAGAGTATGCATATTTGTGTGTGCGTGAGCATGTGTATCTGTGAGAGAGTGAGCATATTTGTGTGTGTGTGTGTGTGTGTCAGCGTGTGTGCCTGTGAGAGAGAACGCATATGTGTGTGACTGAATGTGTATGTGCAAATGTTTGTCTCCATCAAACCACATGGCAGATCCCAAAAACCCTTGGTCTCCATGAAGATGTTAGCAACTGCCAGATATCTCTCATCCGCACTCACTCCCATGTTTACCAGTTACCTGGAGTAAACGATATTTATGACATTCCAGTACAGAGCTGGCCTAAGTTTATCAAGGTATTGGTTTAGGTTCAACCCCCGGCAGAAGGCAAGGTTCCAGCACTGCTCTGAGGTGAACTCATGTGGACTCACAGGTAGGCAAAGTGTTGGAAAATGAACAGGCAGAAATACTGGCTGATACTATACTAATGGGTGGTGAATGTATGCATGAAAAGCTAGATGCAGTCATGCCCCTTTGGGAGCAAGTGAACAGTGCAAAGGGCACAAACAGATAGATCATTATAGCATGGAGAGAATGGTACATATGGGACTGACCAAAGGATCTAGTCAACAATCCACATTCAGAGGAAAGGCAAGGACATACAACCAAACTGCTACTGGCACCATCGGAATTTGAACTCTTTGCTGGTTGCTGAAGCTGAGGACAGAGCGCTTATGGGAATGTCCAGAGTGCCCTGATGTCAGTATTTAGCTTAACATTATACACTCAGCTTTATAGAATTAGTACAGAATCATGTTCTGTGAAAGAAGGTGATGAAAGGAACTGATCCTATCTCAATATGTCCTAGCCTAAACATGTGGAATGCTTTATTTTCCCCACGCCAATAGCAGAACCTGCACAGGACTATTTTCCCGTTTTATATCATTGTCCTGGGGCATAAGGTGTTGCTGGCAATGAAAGAGTTGGTAGAATGGCTGCTCCGCCACTTATCGCAGATGGGTAGTCTGTGAACCGAGCCAGCACTGATGTGCTTAAATGAAAGGGAGGATGACTTTGGAGGCAGTGCACCCATCATCACTGATAAGAACAAGAGATCTGGGAGAAAAGATCGGTACAGCCATGAACAAGAAACATATCAGATGTATAAGAGGCCTTGTCAATCAGCAGAGTGCTGGCTCTATCAACGGAGTGGTGCTGATGTTTTTGAGGAAGAGGAAATCTGAGCGCATATAGACTTGTTCCCAAATGATGACTTGTAACACATCTTTACATCATAATAAACATTACAGTATTCTCCTACAGTTGCAGAAATCATGATAACATAAACTATATTTATTATTTGTTATCATTTCACTCTTCCTAAGAGAAAAACATGAAAGAATATGGCAAATAAAATTATTATAAAGTAAAAACATTATTCTTATTGTATTCATGAATTTCATTTCAACAACTAGGCTACTCATTGCTGTAAAAGTCGAGAGGATCAATTTCATTACAGTAGCTTTTATCCCATATGGCTCTGTCCCTTTCCATAGAGCAGCTAGCCACCTGACAAGAAAGTTGCACAAAATACAAACTCCAGGGGTGAAGTTCCTCCTCTCTACAGCACAAAGCCTGAGTAGTAAAAACCATGTGTCTCCCCTGCGGCATTATCCCTCTCTTGGCCTGCTTTGTTAACTCCAAAAGAAGGGTAACATCAATATATCTGGAATAATCAACATGCTGCAGCAGAAGAACAGTGCTCTGTCTGCCTGAGCTTTCCTCCTAGCCCAGCTGCCAACAGCTATCGTCATATCTCTATCTCTCTCTCTCACACACACACACACACAGAGGGAGAGAGAGAGAGAACAACAACTAACTTTATTGTGAAAGAGCTATAACTGGGCATGCAGTTGTGGTCTGAAAGATCAGCCCTTCCTAGAACTCATCTTTCAGACCACAACTGCATGTTATTAACAATGCATGCTATATTATATACAAATATATATATATATAATGAAATAATACATACATACATCATGTATCATATACACTTTGAATATACACCTACACATACACTCTTATATGCCCATACATACACAGACATAAACACACACCCATACAGACACACACACACACTTATATATACAACCTCACACAAATACATACATGCACTCATGTTCATACAGACATGTACTCAAACATAAACATGCACAATTACCATTTTACACACATGCAATGTCATACATGCATAAAAAGATAAACAATCACACACCCTCATACATCCACATACATCCACCCATGCATAATATAGAAATGTGTTATGCGACACATATTTTCAATATAATGACTGCATAAACATATTTTTTGTGTGGCTCCATCATTCTAATTCTAGTTTGAAAAAAAAAAAAGATTTGTTTCTATGCCTTGATGTGTATTAAGCATATGGTGCTAGGCCCACACATTTATAGCTGAATTTTCACTTGACTGAAGAGGTCAATATAAAGGTCAGCTGCCCTTACTTCCCATAACATTTTCGGCTGTCCTCTGAATAACGGGCACATATTATGTGAGCGGCGTGGGGGAAACTCTCAGCAGTGGCAGTAGTCGCCCGAAGTTCGCAAATTAAGTCGCCGGAAGTGCCCAAGTGACACGTGACTGAGGCCCTGTTTTTGGCCACCAAATTTTGTGCCCGTTATTTGGAGGATAGCCACATTTTCTTATATCTTTTGTAAGCTGGGTCAACCTCGTCATAAAATCCTCCTGGCTGGAGATTCTAATTTCTGACCAAGCAGTCAGCAGGTAAGTGCGCTAACCACTGCCAAAAAGGCTATCATATGTCATAGCTGTCACAGTGTGGTGAAAAAGGTGGAGACAGGTATGCAGAGTGGCAAGCATTGCTTCAGAGGTCCCAGGTAATTACCGTCTTTGGATATTTTTTCCAGGGCACGGCAGTGTGTTGGGAAATGAACAGGAAAACAGATTAGCTGGTTCTGCACTACCTGGTGGTATAAACTGATGCATGACATGCTAGACGTTGTAAGGGGCACTTTGGGAGCGAGTGTGGAGACACACACAGACAGTCACAGTCCGAAGACGTTGATGTAGTTAGGAGTGACCAGGGAATCTAGGTGGCGCTCAGCACTCAGGGGAGGGGTGAGACAGACATACAATTAAACAGTTGCTGGTACCATTGGAATTAGAACTCTCTGCTTGTTGCTGAAGACACAGAGCTTATGGGAATGTTGTGGGTGCTATGATATCAGTTCTCAACCCAAAACTCTTTGAGAGAGAAAAATAGTCTTTCCATTCTTGTATCATCTTAACTTGCTACATCAAGATGGATCAGCCATCTTGGTTCTCACCTGCAGGTGTACTACCATCTTATCTGACGTGTTAAATGCTTCAACCTGTTATCTGATTATTTACAAATTAACAAATTAATTTCAACAGAAAATAGCCAATGCACAAAAAGCACTCATGTGCAATCTTGACAAGTCTCTTTCAGAACAAGTCAATGGTCTCATCTTCCAGACTAGCGGTTCAGGCTATCAGTTTGGGTTCCAACTTCCTCGCAAATGCCTCATAACTGCTCTGTTCCTGTGCCGGCGAAAACCACAAAAAATGCTGCGCTGTCCCATGTGAAAACTCAAACAGATAGCAGTCCCTTACAAATCCAACTACTCGCACATGCATCAAATGCATAAGGCAGTCAGCCAGACTGCCAACACTTAAGAGTCTATCACTATTCAGATTCGATGAAAGCAGCAGTCACGACAAACCAGTAGGTGCAAGCGCATTACTGCATAATGCACACCGCCAATTCTATGGCAACCAACAATTTTCTGAATATGCGATTTAAACACATACCTCTAGGAGTGCAGACAATAGGCAATGCCCAGTAAATTCATAGCTCATAAAGTTGAAACATGCATTGAACACAGTAGCTGGCTAATGGAACCAGATTTCGCCTTGACCTAGTTTGACATGCTAACTCAACCTCTTCTGTCTTATCATGTTATTTTAATCCCTTCAGACCCAAACACACTGATTTGTTAACATAACAACTGTCTGAGACTGAAAGGGTTAACAATAAAGTGAAATTCAAACACAATTCTGAAAATTTTACATGCTGCCACTGCAAACAGTGATCCTGAGATAAATGTGTGAGAACCACCAAGTTAACATAACTTTATAGCTCTATCTGTAAAATATATTATGCAATCTAACTCACATTTGTTCCCATAAATGTCAGTCCCTCCCTGCCCTTACCCTTTTCCCCTGAGAACATTAAAGAAAATAGGTCATGACTTGTTAAAATTTCAGAAAACATCTGTAAAAACAAATTTTTTTCAGACAGGTTACTACCAAATTCATTTAAAAATGTATTTACATTTTAAAGTAATTTTTCGAAATATATAAAGATATATGAAAGCAGCCATCAAAAAACATGAGCAGGGTAAAGCATTCAATGCAGGACATCCCCCAGGGCCTAAAACACATGCATATATCAGGTGACTCATGCCGTGATCCCATGACCTCTAACACTGAGGCTTACAGGAAAATGTGACATAAATTTGCCTTTAAAAAGCCATTTAGCTCACAGAACACCTCCCTAAATACAAGTGTTAGTTACTGTTTTATACCCTGAAGACCTAAATGTTTGCACAGGCACAAATTCAGCCAATAGCATTACTGTGCATCTCGTAAACAGGTGTTAATTTTTCAGCTTCTCAGGGCAAAAAAGTTAATGCTAGTATTTACCACTAATTAGGATGGTGGAGACAGAGTGGTCTTAAGAATTTAGAGCAACAGTGTCAGTGCAGCTGACACAAATTGTGCAGGTTAAGATGTTTATTTTCCCCTCTCCCAGAAAAATTCATAGTCACCTTACCCAGATTTAAACTCGAGTCTTCTGCATGAAAGTCCAGCATTCAAATTACTTGGCCAGCTGCTGCACTTTTCTGTAACAACAGTTTAAATCACATTGTCTTTAGAGACTCATATTGCTCTCGGGTGATGTACTGCAATCCGTCAGATGGTACCGGTGACTTTATCAAAGAACACAACCAAGCAATTCTCCACCTTTTGCCAAGCAACAGAGCCAGATTTTCTTTCCATCCCAGGTTATAAGTCTTGATGTTGTAAGTTCTTTCATGCACAATCTGTCCATTGATACTGTTTACAATGTGGTACACAAAGAGACCACCAGTAAGAAAGAATCCAACCAGGCATAATGAAGTCATGAAAACCTGAACATTTGTCATGGAATCTCCACTATAAAAGATCCACGATATCATTGGAAACATTATTGTAAGAATGGATTTCACAGACACAGTTCCAAACAGGTGGTACACAAAGTCAAAGTTCAAAACACAAGAATAAGCACAAGCTAAACACATATAGAAAACGAGGCTGACATAGTATCTGTGATTGTATAATCCTATGCAGTTCCCAGTAAACGTGCAGTGATGGTCCCTTTTCAGAATACAAGTTTTACATGTGAAACAGTGAAATGATCTGGGGGGCGAGTTACTTTCGCAAACTGCACAGAATCGCCATCCTGGTCTAATGATGGATGGTAGCATTCTGCCTTTGATAGATGTGTTTGTTGTTATAATTAAGTACAGGTTCAGCATGACATTAAAATAAATATAAAAACCCATGAAAACATGAAAATAATATAATGAAAATCCCCCAGTGGGTGTGGCATGCGACTGCGAATGGTAGATCGAAGGTAGGACAATAAACAGTTCAAAAATGCCGATGCTATGAATTGAAAACAGTAAAAACGTGAAAGCGCAAATGTCGCTTCCAGTCTTTGGTAAGTATCGCATTAGTGATGAAACCATGTTCTGTTCTTATAAACACCCGTCTTCAGTAATAATGGCGGTTGCTGCGAATTATTGAAATCAGACGTTCATAAAGGCGGATTACAAAAACGAATCAAGCAAGATTCCTCATTCCAAGTCGGAAGTGGCTACAATTTGAACCCAGACAACACAAGAGTTCTAGCGAAACCTGAGAGTAGCTTCCCTTCACTGGCCGATGTTTGGATTTCGATTTGACTTCATTTGACTGAGTTAGTAGTTTTCTTAAACGAAACGCAGCTTGAATATAACCTAAACGGTATAGCATAACAAAATTTCAACACAGAAAATTCCTATGCATGCCTGTATAAGAAATTGACTACTGCTTTTATTCTTTTTCTTCTTCTGTTCCTCCACCGTGTACTGACACTTAGACACTGTTACTCAACTTACTCACTGTAGTTCACCCGAGATGTAACGTTCGTTGATGAGCACTATTAAGACTGATGTTCATTTCTGTAAGGCTGCTCTTAATTGCCATCACTCTATTTTTTCCGAGGTCTTCCACTCGCTTTATACCCGTGGCTCGCTGTGGCAGATAGTACAAGGGCATTTTTGTTAGGTGTCCAAACCAAACCACTTCATTTTGTTGTTCTTTGATGACCTCTAAGACTGGCTTTATCCTTACAAAACTGCTTTTATTAGAGATACTTACTAACATAGCCATAATAAGTAAGAACGTTAAAGTTACAGATGCAAAGCAGGAGGATTTAAACATTTTATTTAATCATTTAAATGAGCTATTATTGTAATTGATATTTGCCGACGATCATGCCATTCTACAATGAAAACAAAAACCTCCAGCACAACATGAATAACCTCAACACCTGTTGCAAGAAATAAAAAAATAAAATTGTCTGTCTATGTACCACTTTTTCAGGGCAGGGGGTAGAGGAGTCGTGAGCCTGAGTATTTAGCGCCACCTGGCTAGTGCTGTCGCCACATGAAGGTTAGGATGTTTAATTTTGCTCCGATAGAAAAACCACATCGCCTTACCTGAAGTCGAACCCATTTCCCCTACATGGGAGCCTGACATTGTCAAGCAAATACTGAAGAAAAAAACAACAGAAATAGTAAGAGTAAATCAAATTTAACACCGTTCAACATATCACTGTTGAAGGAGAGAAATTAAAACAAGCTAAGAATGTTGAATTAAGAATCAACATCACAGCACTCGTGACAATTCCATAAGCTCTTGTTCCCATCTTCAGCAGCAAACGAAGAGTTCCAGTTCCGATGGTACCAGTAACTGTTTGATTGCATATCTGTCTTTCCCTTCCCTTGGGCGTTGGCCAGATCCCCTGGTAACTCCCCACAGCGCCATTCTCCTCAGACCATGTTAATCTGTTTCTCAGCTCTGTTCACTCGCTCCCAAAGGGCCCTCACAACACCTAGCTTGTCATACATCATTTCACCACCAAGTGGTGCAGTACCAGCCAGCCTATCTGCCTGCTCATTTCCCAAAACACCGCCTGGCCTGGAGAAAATATCCATAGGGCGCTAACTGCCCAGGACCTCTGAAAAGGGATACTTGCCACTCTGCACAGAGAATGCCTGTTTTCAAATTTCTCGACATGCTGTATGAGTCAGTTACATTCACAGCATTTGTGAACAGCTGATTCTAAAGCTAGGGGAAGGCAGCAGTGACTGCATCTACCTCCATTCTCAAACTACACATTGTGAAATCATTTATAGCCTATCTGCAATAGTAGGCAGTGCAGTATATATCGCATACATACTACCAGGGTATCTCTTGTACATCCCAAAATTACTTTCATAGCTTCATTCAGAAACAGAAAGCACTTTTGCCCAGAAAAAAAAAATGCACAACACATTGTTCTTTTAGGGTACACTCCATAAGTACTGTTGCCATTTTGTTTCTATGTTGTGAATGCACATGGCGCCACCTAACGACGGAGACATAAAGTTTGATGTTGCTGTCACTTAATGACACCTTCAGAAGCCACCTACTACATTTTCCTGCCATCCTATAATCAGTTGTGACTTACTTATTGACTTCCCTCGTAGATTTGTGCCTAGTACCAGAAACAAGTCTTGCTTATAGCAGATACTGATAGAATGTTAGTGCACTAATTTTTTTTTTTTATAACGTGGTAGGTGCCAAAAGCTCTTAAACATGTTCAGCATTCTTCTGACCTTGAATCTGAATGTACCAATAGACTTCTATGAATGTCAGTCAATACTCTGTTCAATGCTCTTTTTAGTATAAATGAGGATGCAGAAAAACATTTGTATGTTGATGTTTAATATCAGTAGTAGTTATTGTAATTTTGCGCACACACACACACACACCCTGCTCAAAACTAGGTTATATTTGCGATATAATTTGTTGAGTCCTCAACGTATATATCTGTTTTTTTATGAGTTCTCAGTGTATATATTTGTTGTTTTATGAGTTCTCAGTGGATATATTTGTTGTTCTATGAGTTCTCAGGTATATATTTGTTGTTTTATGAGTTCTCAGTGTATATATTTCTTATTTCCCTTGCTTTTCTTCACCTCAAGTAATCCATTAGCATAGCATACTCCAGTTTTCCCGTGTTTATGGTTTGTGAAAAAAAAAGTGGATTTTCTGCTTCTGATTCAGGGGATAAGTTCTCTCTTTTTTATTAAATTGAACGAATAAATGTCTAAAACGCTTTGCTCCTTAGGTGATTGTCCAGCTGTCCAAATGGGACACAAGACCAAATTGAAAAGATACATCAAAGATGATCGACCACTAAAATTGAAGTCTTATGTGACCTCTCATAAACTGTATCTGGAGAAGGTCATGCTTGGCCATAGAAGAAATCTGTTGCATTACTGTGCCCAACATGGTACTGCTGATATGTTGAGGTAACTTTGTTGTGTTTTTGATGTTCTGCAAGTTGCTCTATAAAAATTTTTAACATTTTGAAATTGCAAGGTAGCCGGCAGGATGTTAACCATGCCTTGGTGGGCACCATCTCATTGTATGAGCCCAGAAATAGGCAAAGATACCTTTCTTATTATCATTTCCCTGCCATTGGTTTTCAGACAGAAGACCACAGGCCTCTTTGTGAAGACTGTAGGTGATGTGATGCATGTCTTTTGCTGTTCCATACAGCTTGGTTTCCATTGAGATGTTAACCAGCCAACTGTGTTGCTTGTTCACACTGGCAAAGTTATGAATCCCCAATCTTGAATCTCTTGTACATATGGCTGCAGAGTCTTGTGTATCCAGGACGCAGTCTAAATATGATGGTTGTGTACCGGACACATCTGACTCTGCCGCCATATAAATGTTGAAAGGGAAATAACGTGAACAAAATTGAAATAAATAAGTTAGTCCCAGGTAGATGTTGAGATGTGAGTTTTAGGGCTTGACATACGCTAAGACACATTACCTTATTTTTCTGCGCATAAGACAATATTTTTTAAAAATATTTTAAGTTTAAAACTGTGGAGAGGGGCCTCATACATCGAACACAAAGAGCTGTGGGAGGGGGCCTTCATACATCGAACACAAAGGGCTGTGGGAGGGGCCCCTCATGGATCAAACGCAAAGGGCTGTGGGAGGGGCCCTTCATACATCAAACACAAAGGGCTGTGGGAGGGGCCCTTCATACATCGAACACAAAGGGCTGTGGGAGGGGCCCTTCATACATCAAACACAAAGGGCTGTGGGAGGGGCCCTTCATACATCGAAGGGGGGGAAGCTCATACATCAAACTCAGAAAGAAAAATGATATATTAGAAGGGTTGGCATGTTCCCTTTTCGCAAAATTTGCTTCCTAGTACCCAATGGTATGAGGCTGGGTTGAATCCAGGGCCATGTTGTTAGAAAAAAATCCTGCCACTGTTGAACATTGAACTTGTTCTAGTGTCTTGGCATGTAAACACCCAAATCATTGTGCTACTATGGACAAGACAAAAGCCGTAAACTTTTAGAAAAGGAGAATCAGGCATTTAGAAGGTACAGAATCAGTCTCATGATAAATAGCAGACTCTAGACTGACAGAGAGGATAGGTATAACGATGAATACTTCATTGGGTAATGGTTTGTGGGAACAGAATCCTATGGACCGTGTTGGGTGGAGGGGGGAATCAGGTAGGGGATAGTTATTTTAGGATAAGATGATAGCAGTGAATCTTTCTATCTGTTAATGTATCTCAGTGTATCTGTCTGTCTGCCTGTTTGTCAGTCTGCCTGCCTGATTGTCAAACATTTTATGTCTAAATAGGAACTGATAGTTCAGATATAGGTATGTAGGGTAATTTCACCTATATCCACTCTCTCTGTTTGGTTAGATGTTTGCTGAAAATGAATTGTGATCCAAGTCAACAAGACAAAGATGGAAATTTGCCTCTCCATTTGGCATTACAAAGAGGATTTCTTGAAAGTATCCAGCAAGCTAGAGAAAGTAAGTCTGTTGTTAAATTCTAGATATGAACGATTATTATTTTATCCACATTCACTACCACTGAACTTAAGGTGTTGCCATGTGTGTGCAGTCTTACAGTGCATCAGCAGCCTAAGGGTACCTTTACTCATTGTTAGCCTGTGACTCTGGTTATGATCTGGCTTATCTTGTCCTCAGAAACAGCACAGACATGCTTCACCGGGCTTTTTTGCCAGGTCATGTAGCTGTGTTAGAATCAGAGACTCTTTGTTTTTCCTAGTCTGTACAGCTTGACAGAATCTTCTCTATCCATGATTCTTCCTTTATGTATTAACATTTTGCCAGGTCATGTAGCTGTGTTAGAATCAGAGACTCTTTGTTTTTCCTAGTCTGTACAGCTTGACTGAATCTTCTCTATCCATGATTCTTCCTTTATGTATTAACTTTCCAGTTGGTTTGGTTGTTCATTAATAAAATAACGAAATGTGTGAACAGTGTCGTAGTAGTGTCTTTATTAAGTAAGGGAAGTGTTGAATTAAGGGGGTGGGGGTGTCATAGCATAGTGTCTTTATTAAGTTAGTGTTGATTCTGTCAGCAGAGAGGATCTGTGGAAGAATCGGGCAAAGTATGACTGCCAAAAGAAGTTTATTGTGATTGTACAGCGACTGCATGATGGAATGCAGGCCGGAATCCAAGATAATAAAGAATTAGCTGAACCTCTCCCTGTCACAAGTGGGTGTGAAACATGGGTGTTGGTGTTGGTGTACTCGCACCAACGCTATTCACTATCATGTTCTTAGCTGTGTTCTCTGATACCTTTTGTGATGGAGGTACAAGAATTGTTGTCAGCTACCACATCGATGGAAAGCTCTTCAACCTTAAGCAGCCTAAAGTGAAAACCAAGGTTAAATCATGTATTATCTGGGGTCTCCTGGTTGTTGATGACTGTGCTATGGCTCAGAAGCAGATCTGCAATATAATGTGGACAAATTCTCAGAGGCCTGTACCAACTTTGGGCTTGCTATTAATATGGAGAAAACCGAAATCATGTACCAACCTACACCAGGCCAAAAGGATAGTTAACCAACCATTTGAGTAAATTACAAGAAATTAAAGGTTGTGGATAGATTCACATACCTTGGCAGTACACTGTCTAAAAATGTCACCATCAACAATTAGGTAAACACCAGGATCTCAAAAGCCAGCTGCACATTGGGCAGACTGTTCACCAATGTCTGGCATCGAAGTGGAATCAGTCTGCAGACCAAACTGAAGGTATACAGAATGGCAGTGCTTCCAGTGTTACTGTTTGCTTGTGAAACTTGGACTGCATACAGACATCATGCAAAGAAGCTCAACCACTTCTATACATTCTGTCTGATAAAGGTACTCAACATCAAGTGGCAGGACAGGGTCCTAGATACTGTTGTAGTGGATACAGCTGGCATTCCCAGCATTAGGTAAAGGTAAAGTTGGGAGATGTGAACCAGCGTCATTGCACACGGTTATAAACCATAAGTGCTCTGCTACCAGTACGGACAGCTGATAAGAATTGTCTGCCTGTGTCGCCGTTCGCACGTAACTCTGTAGCTACAGCGACGTTCCTCCATTTACCCCAGATTATCACGCTAGTACCAATTTCCTAGAGGCTGGGTGAAACCCGGGAGCCGCCTGGTTTCGAACACTGACCATGGGCTGCAGCAAGTCGCAGCTGGATTTGAAAGCGAGCTTCTTATCGATTGCGCTCACGCGGCCGCCAGCATTGATACCATTTGATGGGCAGGTCACCTTATCCTTTTGCCATCAGCTCCCAAAAATAATCTTTTGTGGTGAGATACAGGAAGGTAAACGCTGTCATGAAGGCCAGACAAAAAAACCGCATTAAGGACACTCTAAAGGCATCACTTAAAGCCTTGAGTATAAACCCTGACACGTGGAAGACTGCTGAACAATACCTGACTAAATGGCAAACATCTATCCAAAAAAGTGCAGAGACTTGCGAGGCATCTAGAAAAGGAGCAGCTGAACAACGAAGACATACTAGAAAAACCAGTATATCAGGACCTTTACCTACATACACTATTCCATGCCCTCGTTGTTCTAGATCCTTCCAGTCCCGCATTGAGCCTATGTCATCACCGGATTCACGGACAATCAACTACAGCTTCATGACAGAGGAACAAGAGTGGTCATCATCACTTGTGATGAACGAACAACAACAGTTATGTTAGAGAGATGTTGGGGGAATTTCATCTGGCTCTGCGTGTTCACTTGCTATTTAAGTGATGTGTGTTTTCAGGACAAGTCTTGGTTGGATGTGACTGAACTACTGTAATACAATAGTTGGTACTACTTGTTCTCTATTGACACTGAATTTTGCTACCCAACGTGACATCCTGTTTGTGCCAACTGGTTTAGAAGGAGGAGCACACTGAAGAGAATTCTAACCTTGTCCTAGGACTAGGAAATGCAACCCAAAAACTTAATATAATGGCAAGGCATGCCAGACCCTCAGCCTTGGTTGGCAGCTGGTTTAGGAGAGAAGCAACTTCATTCCTAGTTTTTATTGGCACCTCTATGGCAGTGATTCTCAGCCTTCCTAATGCGGTGACCCTTTAATATAGTTCCTTGTGTTGTCGCGACCCCCAACCATAACATTATTTTAGTTGCTACTTAATAACTTAAGTGGATATGTGGTTTTTTTATGGTCGTAGGCGACCCCTGTGAAAGGGCCATTTGACTCCAAAAGGGGTCACGATTCACAGGTGGAGAACCGCTGCTCTATGGGCTACGATTCCCAAGCTGCTTTCTTATAACACAGTGAAATACTATCCTCAGGAAAGATTGAAAGGAAAGGTGCCAGCAACAGTAACAGCAACAAGCTATATCTATTCATTGTTGGATCTCGGCCCTGAGCTTTCAGAATCACATGGCATCAATTTCTGTTGAACTTGTCATCAGTGTCACTTTTGCTCTGAATTGTCTTGTTGGTTAATCTATGTTAGCTATCATCCTAGATTTTGTCATTTATCAAACTTTTTCATTATCAGTCTTAACAAAACTGGTCATCTGTACTGACAGCTGTTACCTATGCTTCCTCCAACTTACTTAATGTTGTGATCATAAAAAGACTTAAATGGCATGACATAATTGATATTGCAGAGCTTGGTGGCAGAACTAAACAAGTTCAGCTCAGTCAAGAGGTGAGGACAGGATGCTGGCACTGGACAAAACACATATTGAGAAAATCTGTTAATAATGACTGGGAAGTCTTTCTTTCTGGAACTCACAGGAAAAAGAAACAGAGGAGACCAAACAACACAAGAAGAAGAGAATTAGAAACAGAGATGAGTGAGAGGGCCTGTGGAGCTGTAGGATATGGCACAAAATTGGAGGACTTGGCGAGATTTGATTGAGAGGATAAAGAGCAGAAAAAGTAGTTGTACTTTTGGAGAATGATCCAACACACACAAACAAAAAATGTGATGAAATACACAAACAGCAAAAGGACATCCCACCAACCAGTCTTTATCTACAGACAAGATTCTTTACTGCAGAAACACAGTATGATCATAAAATAATTAATTCTGAAGATGAATTAAAGGTGACAGTAATAGTTTCTTTTGTCTGTGTATATTTGTGTGGACCATTTGCTTAGAATACCTTGGACAGCCAAAAAGAGCAACCAAGAGGTTTTGAAAGAGGCGGGAGCCCGAAGACAACTTATCACAGACATCAGAAGGAGACAGTCATCATTTTTCGGCCATGTTATGAGAAGAGGGAAAATAGAACATGTTGTGACCACTGGAAAGATATGTGGAAGGAGAGATAGAGGAAGACAGCGAGAGAAGATGCTTGACAGTCTTGTTGCATGGCATGGAGGTGTGTCGGCACACGAACTGATACATGCTGCATGAGATCGCAGATTATGGAGAGACACCTGATGAAGATGTTGATGATATTTTATTTCACTGTTCTTACCATTTGCTCCCTATTTTATTTTATTTTTTACTGTCTTCTTCTTCAGCATTCCAAGTCCTTGAGGTTCATTGCCCACCTCCATTTATCTCTCTGACTGACCTTCTTTCCATTGGGTAACTCCAAGTGTTGAAGCTCAGCCTGTATATCTCTGAGCTGTGTTCTTAGTCTGTTCCCATTTAGCTCTTTCATTTACGTAGTTTTTATCTCTCTGTTGTCTGCCATTTTCTATCTATGCCCCAACCATTGCAGTGCAGTCTATTTGTCCTTATGCCATCTATAATTGATGATGATTTAAACAAGATTATTAGTGCTGTTGCTGCTTCTTATTCTTCATTCTCTGCTGTTTGCATCTTAAATGGGTCCAAAGGTGTAATGGACCTTTTTTTCTTCTTATCATTCACTAGCTGTAAACTCCAACAGAAAGGTCTGGTTGTTCATCCACTTCTTGACTCTAGTCCCGCTCTAGAACCTAAGTGTTGCCTGCAAATCTGTTTCAGGTTTTTCATTCCTTGCCTATCAGGATAAACTTTGAAGGAAGCTCCCAATTAGTAACATCTTACGGCATGCTTGTTGTGAAGGCAGTGCGTGTATTCTTGTTCTCCCCATAATAGGGCCCTAGAAACTGCACAGGCAGTGTACTGGACCTCAATTTTGGTCCATTTTTCTTTAGTCTCATTTGTTTTTTGTATCATCTTATCAGTATTGTTTTCAGTATTTCTTGAAGATCTCAGTACCAAAGGCTTCAACTTTTTGTTGACTCTAACCAGCTCTCCTGGACATGGTGACACCTTTGTTAGAGGCCTACCCACTGGGACAGGATGTAGAGAACAAGGAAGGGGCTACAGGTCAGGACCTGTTGACATCCCTGAAGAAGAGGATCAAATCACAATTGTCATGTTCCACATTAAAGGTAAAGTAGCATTGTAAATAACAGGTAAAAACCAAAATCGTAATTAATTATCTAATAATTTGTTTGTGTGTCCTGACCGAGCCAGACTTTTCTTAAATGACCTTGGCTCTCAGGTCGACCCAACTTTGAGTAGGTACCAGTATAGTCAAGGAAAGTAAAGGTGACCGGCGCGATGTTGACTCCATCACCCACCAAGTGCGGATGGGTCTATAAAATATAGGTCTAGCCCTATATGCCCAAACATGTGATTGAGTGGAAAGGGGTCCTTTACTTTACTTAATTGTTTTTTCCTTATTTGGTGTTTAGTGTACTTTCTGTTTGTATTTGTTTTGTTAAATTTGGGAATATGGCCGGGGTTTGTATGTGCTATCTCCCCACTTTCCATAACATACATTGATAGCAGATGCAGAGAGCCAAGACGAGGATGATATTTCTGAATTTCTGTTTATAGATGACAAAGCATTAATAGCAGAAATATCTCCAGAGCTATCTCAATCAGGTCAGTACCCAGCGTGAGAAATCAGTATGAAAATTTGCACAGAATAAACAAACAATGGCAGTAAGTATATAACCATAAACCATATATTAAAAGTCAATAATACATAATCAAGTGAATTTTTTGGACTTCCGGTTAAAATGGACGCTAGACAGCGGCGCCGTTCGGAACAGAGGTAAATTTTTTGCTTCTGCCGGACGGTGGCCGATGCATTTCTGCTCCATTTGTAGACTGGATATAGTTTCGTCGCCCAGCTTCTGAGTTGAATGCATGGCGTGACCCTGTGAGCTGCGGATTACATTTGGAATGTTTTTTTTCGACTGTGACCAACGTGGTGGTGTGAATTGTAGATTCAGAAAATGGCGCGATGCCTGTCGTTCAATGCTGGCGGGGCCCGTATTCAAATTGATCATGCGGACAACTGCTGATCTGTTGACGACAAGTTCTGCTATCATCAATGATGAACTGCATTTCTAATGTTGGACTGTTTGTGTTAGCACTTCGGATGGCTACCATATGCTTTAATGCGAATGTATGCTAGATATGCTGAGACAGCTGTCTGTCAATCTTTCCACAAGGGACTGTGATAGACATTCTGAGTGTTTTTCGCTGGCACAGGAGCGGAGCAAAGATGGGGCAACCCGTTTGCTATGAAGCTGAAACTAAGACTATCTGACTACCAGACCAGACATCAAGTGAATTTAAATATCTACAGTAGGCAGGCCAAACAATATCTTTAGGCCTCAGAGATGTGGTTTTACAGAAGAATGTTTAAATTACCTTGGACAGCCAAAAAGAGCAAACAGGAGGTTTTAAAAGAGGCGGGAGCCCAAAGACAACTTATCACAGACATGAGAAAGAGACAGTCATCATTTATTGGCCATGTTATGAGAAGAGTGAAAATGGAACATGTTGTGACCACTGGAAAGATCTGTGGAAGGAGGGATAGAGGAAGACAACGAGAGAAGATTCTTGAGAGTTTTGTTGCATGGCATAGAGGTGTGTCAGCACACGAACTGATACATGCTGTATTCCATTGAATGCTTCACTCTGTTTGTGAATATTGATTACTCTCTTTATATATCTATTTATATTTTGGAGAAAAAAATTGGGACTTCCCACGGGCTCCTTTTGCATTTTTTTTTTTTTAGCTTTCTCTGGAAAATGGGTGAACTTGTCAGATGTCAGGCTTTTTGTCCCTGTTACAGAGCACATCTTTTACATTAATTAACACTGAACAAGTGATATACGAGAAAATGTATTTTAACAGCAACAAAACAGAGGAACAAAAAACATAAAAGCATGTATCTTTAATTTCTACATCCAAGATGAACAACAAAAAGTTAATTTTTATTCAGCATGGTTGCTTTGTCTTTTTTTTTTTCTGTTTGCTTCACAACATCGGAGTAGAAATCGAGTTCTGGATTGAGTTCTGATGTTTGCCACCTCATGCACTGTTGTTTGTTGCCTTAGATTTGCTATTTATCATTATGCAGGAGCAGTCTTTTGCTTGTTTCAATTTGCATTTTTGTTCTTCTCCCTGCCGGTGGTTTCTGGATAAGACAGCTGTGCTGCAACAAATTTCCTCCACTGTTTTATACAGCTTGGCTCTTGCCGGAATGCTAACTGGCCAGATCTGAGATCTTACCTAGTGCCCGTAGACAGCATGTCTGCAGAACGTTCAGAATTCTGTGGTGCCTGTCTCCATGGGCAACGTTCTGAGTCCCTGGATCTGCACCACTAGGTGATGAATTGATACACAACAAGGCCGTTTGGAGACAAGCAACGGAATCAGTAGAGAAACAAGATTATTATGGCCTGGAGAGAATGAGGCATCTGGGTGTAACCAGAGGGTCTGGCCGGCTCACTACACTCAGAGCAAAGGCAAGACAGATATATAACCAGATTGTGACAGGTACCATCAATATTGGAACTCTGCGCTGGCTGCTGAAGATGGGGACGAAGCATGCATGGGAATGCCCTGAGTGCTGTGATGTCAATTCTTAACTCAACTCAACTCTGAGGCCCTAGTCTTGAATCTGCCAATCTATGAAAGTGGTAGTGACCCTGCTTGTTGTCTTGTGTTACAGCGGCAGGCGGAAACAGACAGAAATTATGATGGTGATGATGATGAATCCTGGAGACAGAAGTTGAGTGAAGAGGCTTCCTTTGAACATGAGGAAGGATTACCCAGATACAGTTACAGTGATGGTAAGTGATACTTGTTGGTATAGTTTTACATTCACATTTGCAGTTATGCCTGGTGGTCTCCGTGGCTAAGTATTCAGGCTGTTTGTTTCTGGCTCTGAAGGTTATGGGTTTCTTTCACAGGCACGCCATGCAGTGTTTTAGGAGGTTTCTCTGAATCACAGATGGAGCTGCTTAGTTCATGCTTCTTTCGACACTTTTCAACAGGTGGATAACCATTCTGCAGAGAGAGTCTTATCTTTCTTCTTCTTAGCATTCGTCAGCTGGAAAGTTATGTTTGTTTGTCGATTTCTGGATTTTGTCTTCCAGAATTTGAATTTTGCGTGCACATCCATTTAACATAACTGGATTATTTGTTTGCAGACTGTTGGTTCCTTGTTTCTCAGGTGCATGCACTCTGAATTCAGGGGGGGGGGGGGAATAAACCCACTGACACCCTGCCAAGCATGTCATACAAGGCAATTAATTTGGGATGTTTACTTCAAAGTTGAAGTGCCTCTGCCTAAGAGGCAAGGAACCAACAGTCTGCATACAAATGAGTCAGATCCGTGAAACAGTAGCGCACATAAAAATCAAGTTTTTGAACAGGACCAGAAGTGGATGAACAACCATAACTTTCCACCGGATTATACAGCGGTGAACATGAAAGAAGAAGAATGTTAAGAGTAATGTGCCCATCATTGCATCTCACAAAATGTTCAGATATACAGAGTAACACAATGGCTAGTCCATTTACCTGCTGCTTCAGTTGCTTAGGTTCAGGTCCCCATACTGGTCAGTTTTGTGTGTGACCATGTGGGTGTAATTAATTTGTATTACACACCTTTTTATTATTTCTCAGGTGTTGTTAGTTTTAAGACAGAGAGTTCAGTATACGAGTTATAAATGATCTACACTTTTCATTATTTCTCAAGGGTTGTTAGTTTTAAGACAGAGAGTTCAATATACGAGAGAGAGAGAGAGTCACAAATGATCTACATTTTTTTCTCATCAATTTCCAGGAAGCTAGGATTTCACTATGCACATCAGTTTTCTACGTAATCTTCCTCCTTATCAATGCACTTTACCCAACGGTCAACAAGCTTGCGTATTCCTTCCACATAAAAGGTTTCTGGTTGATCTTGGAGCCACTTTTGCACCGCATTTTGCACGTCTACATCTGAGGCAAATCGATGACTCCGCAAAGCATCCTTGGGCAGCTCAAACAAGTGAAAGTCAGAAGGAGCCAAGTCTGGGTTGTGGAGAGTGTTCCAAATTCTATCTTGTTGATGGTTTCAGTAGGTGACCAGCCGTGTGTCACCCTGCATTGTCATGCAACAACAAAACTTTCTTGGACACCAGACCTTAGTATTTGTTGCGAATTGCTGGCTGCAGCTTCTTTTCCACTAAACTTTTAGATCCACAAAAACAGTTTTGCGTGATAGTGTACTTCCTCTTTATGGTGATGACAGTCTACGATGAATGTCTGAACCTTTGACACCCTCTGACCAGAGGAATCTTATCACTGCTCCTTATTCCTCCTTGGTGCAAACTTCTAATGGAGCCGCGATGGTCTGTCGGCAACAGAAGAAAAATGGCGGGATTAGGATCAAACTTTCATAGCATTACTATAACAGTATTACAATAAAATATGCGAGGCAGAAGTCAGTGTGGACAATGTAAGAAGAGTTATGTCAAAAGTAAAGATAATTTTTTACTTCTCATATATTGTGCTGATGTTTAAGCTTATCTGTCCACACTTTTTTTTTTCATTGTAATAAACTGACACAAATAATGTATGTGTGTATTGTACTTGATTTATTTTGATTGTGTTTTGAAAGCAGTCTGTAAATATTTGTGGTATTTCTTGAGTACAGAGTTAGATTGCCCTTGTAGTGTTTGTATTTATAGCAGGCAATTTGGTGATATCTTCGCAGTGAATGTTGCTTTCAGTGGGTCTGCCGTACACTCTGTCTCTCTTTCTGGATGTACAACTCTGAGTCTGGTGTCCCTCTGTCTCTTGGTTTTGCCCTCCTATTTATGTGGCTGTCTGTGTCACACTCATTCACATATTCATTTCCCGTCCTTTTTAGGATAACATTTTTCGTTATTTGAAGCCCTACTCTGGCTCTTGCCAGGGGCTGCAATATAGCGCGGCCATAAATATTGTCTAATGGCTGAATGCGGTTTCAGGGACCTCTCCACGGTGATCCTCAACCGCATGGTGGCACTTTGTGTCATCGGGTGTAAATCGCTTGTGGGATGTCCTGGTTGGGTAGAAAGTCAGTCAGTCAGTCACACTCATTTGCCTTTTACTTTTTCTTCATACATGATTTTTATAATTATAGTATGCCTTTTAATGTCAGAATATTCTTTTCTTTGCTCATCAGACGTCCAACAGGAACAATTCCATGAGCCAGCTGGTGATTGGTTTGAAGAAGTAAGAAAGGAGTATACTTCTAAGCGATCAAGAAAACTACACACCTTCTGGCGTGATAAAAAGCAGAAGATCAGTGATGTAATCGGGGGAACCAGCGGTAAAAAATCACACAAGCAGAATACTGAAAATGATAAATGGCAAAATGCACGAGAAGAAATGAAAAAACAGTACAAACCACAACCAAGTGTGGACCATTTGATTTTAAAGAAGAAACGTTATGAGAGCAAATTTACTTATCTGCTGGGTCATCTGTCTGGACGGACTTTGACATACGCCTGCATACCTTGGCCAAGTCCTGACATCAGTCGTGTTGTTGATGTGTTGATGTGTGATCTGCCGGACAACAAGAGTGCAGCATTTCACAAGTACCTTCGGGGCCAACAGATCCGCTGGCACCCTGACAAATTTATGCAGAAGCTAGGAGACCACCTACACCCAGATCATAAAGCAAAAATCTTAAACAGGGTCATGGCTATTTCACAAATTCTAAATGGTCTCAAGACAAAAGTGAATCAGTGATGTGTATGAAGGCATATTACTACATATACAAGTGATAGGGAAAGTCCAAGTACCACATATACAAGTGATAGGGAAAGTCCAAGTACCACATATACAAGTGATAGGGAAAGTCCAAGTACTACATACACAAGTGATAGGGAAAGTCCAAGTACTACAAACAACAAATGATAGGGAAAGTCCAAGTACTACATATACAAGCGATAGGGAAAGTCCAAGTACTACATATACAAGCGATAGGGAAAGTCCAAGTACTACATATACAAGTGATAGGGAAAGTCCAAGTACTACATACACAAGTGATATGGAAAGTCCAAGTACTACAAACAACAAATGATAGGGAAAGTCCAAGTACTACATATACAAGCGATAGGGAAAGTCCAAGTACTACATATACAAGCGATAGGGAAAGTCCAAGTACTACATATACAAGTGATAGGGAAAGTCCAAGTACTACATATACAAGCGATAGGGAAAGTCCAAGTACCACATATACAAGTGATAGGGAAAGTCCAAGTACTACATACACAAGTGATAGGGAAAGTCCAAGTACTACAAACAACAAATGATAGGGAAAGTCCAAGTACTACATATACAAGCGATAGGGAAAGTCCAAGTACTACATATACAAGCGATAGGGAAAGTCCAAGTACTACGTATACAAGTGATAGGGAATGTCCAAGTACTACGTATACAAGTGATAGGGAATGTCCAAGTACTACATATACAAGCGATAGGGAAAGTCCAAGTACTACGTATACAAGTGATAGGGAATGTCCAAGTCTTAGTGGTGTGGCATCTCCTTGCATTTATGGAATGAGCCCAAATGACCAAGTGGTATGACATCTGCCTGTATTTCCAGAGCAGGTCCAGATACAAAGTGGTTTAGCATCTACCTACAGTTCCAGAGCAGGTCCAGGTGGCATAGTCATGTGGTATAGTTTCTACCTGTAAATCCACAGCCGATCCCAGTGATTTGTTGATGTAATGTCGGCCTGTAGATCTTGAATTGTCTGATTCATTTCTTATTTTCTAGAATTTGTTGTTTTCAAAATAACCTGATTATATCACACATTCATCTGATTTCTGGTCAGATGTTTGGATGCCTATATATATCAAAGAACAAGCAAAACATAGTTCCAAGTGCAAATCAGCTCCCTTTATATATTTGTCTGCAGAAATCTAGTGCTCATTTCACAGGACTGTTTACTCAGAGTTGTCAGTTACTGAGTGGAGTGGAGGGGGCCTTATGTGAATGAATGAACAAACTTTATTTTCAAAGAGTCTCAAACTGAACCTGCAGAGCTGACTTACAGTTGTTCAAAGAGTCCCAAATTGTACCTGCAGAGCTGACTTACAGTTGTTCAAAGAGTACCCAAATTGTACCTGCAGAGCTGACTTACAGTTGTTCAAAGAGTCCCAAATTGTAACTGCAGAGCTGACTTACAGTTGTTCAAAGAGTACCCAAATTGTAACTGCAGAGCTGACTTACAGTTGTTCAAAGAGTACCCAAATTGTACCTGCAGAGCTGACTTACAGTTGTTCAAAGAGTACCCAAATTGTAACTGCAGAGCTGACTTACAGTTGTTCAAAGAGTACCCAAATTGTACCTGCAGAGCTGACTTACAGTTGTTCAAAGAGTACCCAAATTGTACCTGCAGAGCTGACTTACAGTTGTTCAAAGAGTACCCAAATTGTACCTGCAGAGCTGACTTACAGTTGTTTCAAAGAGTACCCAAATTGTAAACTGCAGAGCTGACTTACAGTTGTTCAAAGAGTACCCAAATTGTACCTGCAGAGCTGACTTACAGTTGTTCAAAGAGTACCCAAATTGTACCTGCAGAGCTGACTTACAGTTGTTCAAAGAGTCCCAAATTGTACCTGCAGAGCTGACTTACAGTTGTTCAGAGAGTCCCAGATTGTACCTGCAGAGCTGACTTACAGTTGTTCAAAGAGTACCCAAATTGTACCTGCAGAGCTGACTTACAGTTGTTCAAAGAGTCCCAAATTGTACCTGCAGAGCTGACTTACAGTTGTTCAGAGAGTCCCAGATTGTACCTGCAGAGCTGTCTCACAGTTGTTCAAAGAGCCCCACTCTTAGGTTTCAAATCGTTTGTTCGTACTGTTTTCTGATATTGCACCTTTCATCTCTTTTAGGAAAACGAGTAATTTCTATTCCTAAATTTCAAAGTGGTGACAAAAAAAAGGTGACCCAGCTAAACCTTTTAATATTCATTAGCAGAAGCAAATCTCCTGCTTGCCCCGGCTAGCTATCAATATTTCCAGGACAGTTGTTCAGGAACTCGACCTTCAACTTGCTTCCCAAAATACACCAACCTGACAACCCACCCTGACCATGTCTGTCTTTGCTTATCTTAAAGAACTTATCACTGAGTTCGTCAATTATTTTTTACAGTGGTTAGAAGTGTGCACAATCCTGTGCTTGTATTTGATAATTTGATGCTGCTGATAATGTATATTGTTACTTGATGTATAAATAAAATGATATATGAAAGAAGGAAGACTAGAACGGCAGAATGTTAGATGAGCCTGCATGCCGAGTTCTTAACATTTTGAAAATAAAGTTTGTGCGTTCGTTTGTAGTATATCCCAAGTCCACTGATTAACCTGCTTCCCTCCTGTATACATCTTCTCATCCTTCTTTCTGTAAAAATTCCATTTCATTCTCCCAACTTCCAGAGACTGCTGTCTTTTGAGAGTTGTCTAATAGGCTCTGTCTCACCCAAGGGCCTCAATGTCTAGCACAGCTTTACATTTAAAATGTGAGTTATGGCTATTGACTGTCAATCCTATTCCTGTGTAGATCCCACTTCCTGTGTCATACTTGACTCAGAGTTTCTACTGTCTAGACATGTCACGGATATTTCTGGGAGAAACCTCAACATACAGATAAGTGATTTTTGTATATTTTTGTTTGTATTGATATCATTATTTTGTTGTGTTATATGCTGATGAAGGCTTTCTAGCCGCAGCATTTATATGTCATTCATGACTGTGGTAATGTGACGTTGACCAGTTCTTCTTCTAATTTGGTTTGATATATTTTCATGGTTTGAATAAAGTTTATAGCTGCAATAAAACTATCTCAAGCAGAATACAATACTGAGTATATTATGTGGTCTGAAAGATTATTGATGTATCCTAGGAAGCCATACACTAGAAGAGATTAAGTGCACAGCTCTGTTGTAGTTTTTAAAATATACTATTGTATACACAAGTGATTTAGAATGTAAAATAATTGGTTTATTATCCTTGCATCGCTAGAGCCAGTGTGTGTCCCTTAAGCCTTGTGCACCCATATCTTGTATAGATGTGCCCCCACACAAGCTGTGTCATTCTGCAGTGGCGTGCCATGTGATTACCCCTCCCCCCCCCCAACCTTGCGCTCTCTCTCTCTCACACACACACACACAAATTATGTATTCTTGAAGTCAAATGCCATCCTTTCTCTCTCTTGTAATCTCTCTCTCTCTCTCACACACACACACACACACAGACACAGTTTGTGAATTCCTTAAGTTAGGTACCCTATACAAGCTGTATATTCTTGAAGTTGTGTGCCAACATAAGTTGTATATCTTTTGTGTTGCATATTCTTTAAATCATGTAACCCCCCCCCCCCCCCACCCTTCCCCCAAGCCATTGTATGTCACATATATCAATGAAGCCCCCTAGTGGTCCATTTCTATAGAATAGAGTGATTCTGATCTGCAAGGCGTGTAGTGTAAGTTCTTCTTCTTCTCTAATCCTGTACTGTCTTTCAGTGTTAGGATTTGAAGAGGCATCGAATGAGAGCCTTGGTATGTGCTATGTACGTACTCACATTTACAGCCTGTGCTATTCCATCTATCCATCGCTTGCATGGTTGACCTCTGGCTCTGCTTCCATTATGTCAAAGTGACAGGGCTCTCTGTGGTGCACTATCTGGTGGAAATCTTGACACAAGTCCAAGCCATTTGATCGGTTGTCTCTTGATGTTGTTTAGTACTTGTTCTGTCCAAACTTCTTTCCTGATATCCTCATTTCTGATCCCTCTCTTCTAGTTCCATTTGGGATTCACTGTAGACATTTCATTTCTGTTGTTTCCATTTGTCTTTTGTCCTTTATTATCAGTGTCCAGGTTTGGCAATGATAACCCAATGTTGGTTTTAAAAAAAAATATTGCCTAGTGTTCTTTTTTTGTGTCAATTTTTACATGTTCTGCAGAATTGGTGACATTTGTCCACTGATTTGATTTGCGTTATTACATCTGTGATCTTCTCCTCTTTGATTCTTCCATTGGATGGATGACATTATGCTGCATAGATACTTGGTGTCTTTTGCTTGCTTGAGTTGCTGGTTGTCTATGTATATCTTGATTGGTTCTTCTGTTCTTGCAGTTGTTGTAACCTCTGTGTTTCTTTTGTTTTTCTTGATGTTTATTTTCATGTTTTGTGCTTTTGCTGCTATTTTTAGATTATCCAGGTATCTCTGCAGCTCCTCATCTGTAGTTGCCATGAGGACTTGGTCGGCTGCAAAAATTAGTTCACTGCACTTATTGTCTTCATTAATTTGGGATGCTCTGCTGATGTGAACTATATATGTCATAAATAGCAGGGAGGATATAACACATCTCTGATGGACTTAGGATTGTAAAGAGAAGTGAAAGTGCCAGCTGAAATATCCTCCCATGTCATGTAGTGTAAGTACCAAGTGAAATATCCTCCCATGTCATGTAGTGTAAGTACCAAGTGAATTATCCTCCCATGTCATGTAGTGTAAGTACCAAGTGAAATATCCTTTCATGTGGCTGTAGCGGGAAATATCCTCCCATGTCATGTAGTGTAAGTACCAAGTGAAATATTCTTCCATGTCGCTGTAGTGTGAAATACCCTCCCATGTCATGTAGTCTAAGTACCAAATGAAATATCCTCCCAAGTCATAAAGTGGCAAATATTCTCCCATGTCATGTAGTATAAAATATCCTTCCATGTGGCTGTAGC